TAACACATTTCCCTCTGCGACTTGTATTACATTCAATACAATCTGTAGTCAAAGGCAGAAAAGATAGTGAGGGACACAAAGGGTCTGGACTTGCAGCTGCTGGTTGCTCCAAGTGCATGTGTCTCAATGCCCCAGATGCAGGAGTACAGGACACATGTTTTTTTTACCATGATAAGGATTTTACATTGAATACAGTATTATAATCAGGGCATTCAGTGAGTAATATAGATATACATGCGCAAAGACAGTCTTTTGCCCAAAGAACAGAAAATCTGCAGCAGACAGGTGCAGTAAAAGTGAACAATTACTTCTCATTGGCTATGGAATTACATTCCAGAAAATCAAAGATCTCAGCATCTACGTAGTGAATTATAGGACACATCTCTGCACATTAGTAACTGGAAAATAAATAGAGTTGGAAACATCAAGAGGAGCACCGATGTCAAACATGAGCTAGTGACGCAAGGTTAAGGAAAATGTAGGTATTTTAGGGAGTGATTTAGAAGAAGAAAAGAGTCATTGCTGCTTGAATCTCTTTGAATTAAGGAGTACTGACAGCACTTCAAACATCTCAGGTTCAAATGATGCCACTAATAGAGCTGTCTGGACATGGACATCAGCTCATTAGCATTGTGGTGGAGTGGCAGCTGGGGCCACTCAGTGCTGATCTCCTGCTTGCTAGAGAATCAGAAGACAACAAAGCAATACCGAGCACCTGAAGGTGCCCATACCAAGCACCTGGAGGTACCTGAAGGCTAAGGCTAAGGCTAAGGACATGTCTGTGTCGAGTGTGATAAGGAAGAAGAAAAAATGCAAAACCTCTCATTTTCCCCTTGTTTTTCAAAAAGATGGACTGATATGGCAATGAAAACCACATTCATACCAGTGGGCTACAAGAGAAGGTAGTCAACAGTCCTATGTGGTCACCAGCTGTAGGTGCTGCAGGAAATCAGATAGAGGCCATTTTCACCATGCTGTAACCACCTCTTACTTGGAATCTGTCCTTCCCTCAGTACCAAGAATTATGTGTTCTTGATGGAGGAAAGACTTCCCCTTTCCTTTTGTTCTCATTTTAGTCTTTAGGGCAGGCATGTGAGATTTATTGGATTTTTATTTTGTTCTCAAAGATATCAAAACCTTTTATTTTTATAAAGGTATCAATTTTTCTATCTGCTCATTTCAATAGCCTTCTGGGCATCTGTCTTCTGTCCCATCTTCCACCATCACACTACCAGATAATAAGCAGAGAGCTAAAGGGAAAGTAGCCAGGTAAATAGATTTCTCACCGTGGATTTTTATCTTGACAGCTTATAGGGACAACGGTGGGAGTGCTCTTCAGTTGTCTCTATTTTTGACACATTTTTATAAAAAGCCTTTAAATAAAATGGAAGAAAAACTTGATTCCTGTCAAGTGGAAGCTTGTCTATTCCTTATGTATCACTTAGTCCATTCTTAATGAACCACCGAAGACCATTTTCTCTGCACTAGAAGTTCTTAAATTACCAATCAAAAGTGAGATTCCCCTTTGAATAGCATTTTAAATCTTTTAAAAAGACCAACGTACTATTCAATACTTACATATAAATAAATTCCTTCCTGAATAAAGCTCCAGAGAAAGGCCTATGTACCACTACAGTGTCACATGAACTTCCTTCACATTTGACTCTGTACATGATATTCACTTTTGCAAACACTTTCAAGAGTATTCCCATGGTGCTGTGACCAGAGGCTGGGATCATTTATACGTATCAATATCCCAAACATCAATTTCTTAGCTGGCAAGAAAAAAAAGGAGACCTGAACATTGTGTGCCCAAGATACTTGCCAACCTACTGAAGGTAGAAGAAGCTGCCAGTGATCCCTCCAACAACGTGATTCTCTGACAGTGAAGATACTTCCTTCAATTTGATGGAACTGAATTCAGCCCTTAGGAACATTACTAACATCAAAGGGAAATACCAAAGGATGAGTAAAGCCTGTATTGATTTCAGTTAAAAATAGTTTTACAGGAGTGCATAAAACAATTCAAGTTTGTTAGAAGAGCTGTCAGGGCATAGTTTAAAAGCATCCCAAATTAAACAAAATATTCCAGGGACACTTTGCCCTTTGTTATTTAAAAAAACAGGCACGCTTTCTTTACTTATGGAATAAAGATATAGTGAGCTTAATGTGAACAAAATGTGAACAAAATCCGAACAAAACCATCTGACAGTTCATCAAAATCTCATTTCAGATCTAACACACAAATGCAGATAATATCTAATTTTCTATTAAATGATATGCATGGAGAAAGCTCTGCTAATGATTATGAGAGTAGAGAAGAAGGTCCATAAAATATTGAAAGCTTTTAATGGCATTTTTGAATTGAGTTCCTTCTTTTCCTTTATGATACAGAAGACCGACATAAATTATTGATTACTTATGATGGTATGCATCCATTTACTAAAAGCAGGAAGGCGAATGGGGAGTTGGAATATTTGGAGAGTGAGGCATTAAAAAATGTAGCAAATATTCACTGACTCATAATTTCTTTGTATTTTCTCTACAGGCACTTAATCTCTCTTGCACTGTCTGGGGAGATCCCACTCCAGAGGTCTCATGGCTAAAGAACGAAAAATCATTTGTATCAGATGCTAATTGCATCCTGAGGTTTGAATCAGGAAAAAATGTCAGCTTTTCCATTTCTACTGTGTCCACACACGACTCTGGGAAATACAGCATTGTGGTGAAGAACAAGTACGGTACAGAGACCAGCGATGTCACCGTAAGTGTGTATATACCTGAGGAAGAGAGAGAGTCTGAGGAAGAAAAACAGAAATGAAAGCATGAATTTAAGACTAGAAGAAAGAAGTATGGGGGAGATTTTGGATGATAGGCTGACATAATTAGTGTGTGTAAATGGCTTTCTGCTTTAGCAGGCAGCCTTGGATTTTTCCATTCACTTCACTTTTGCTTCTAGTACACTTATTGTGCCAGGGAAAACAGGGCCAGTTGTGTTCTAACACAGGTCCAACATTTGACCCTTTCCCTGGAGCATCTGGAAGGAAAGGGTCAAGAATTGTTTCAGTGGAAGCAACTGATGTGGTAGATGGAAAGATCGAAAATGATCAAGGCATTTTTGAGCAGCAGTTAGGATTTATTCCAGGTTTGGTAAAGTAGCATAGATGGAATGTGTTAGATCATAGAGAAATTAGTGCTGGTTTTTGTCTACGTTGAGGCCTCTTTGTATTGCTGTGTTAATTTACAGAAGCCTTAAAATGGGTGTCATTTACATCCTGAAATATTGTTTAATCTGCCCAAATGGGGTAAAAGTACTGTAACATAAATGAAAATAAGGCTTAGTAGGCCAGGATACTAATATGTGTGTGTGTGTATGTGTCTGTAAAAATGTATGAACTCTCCTCTCTGTTCACAAATAAACTGAATTCACTTCTTTCCTTCTATCACAAGCTGGTTTCACTGTCTTGTTTTACTAGTCACAGCTCTGGTAGTTGTACACATTATCTTAGAGTCTTAATGCTTTCACACTCTAATTACCTTTAGCTTCCCTTTAGATCCCTGTTAATCTTCACTTTGCTGTTTATGACAAAACTCACAATGGCATCTCTTCACACCTTTCTGTCCAGACCTTCACTACTTTACATCTCAACTCAAGGTACTTTTGCAAATTCTGGCACAGGAGTAGTCTTGTGCTTTCTCAACGGACCTGGTCACGAATTGTGATTTAAGGGTGTTAGGTAAGTATTTTGTTTGGTCAAAGTGTCAGTTAATTTCATTCAAAATTGACGTTGGAGATCCAGAAATAACATATTTCATCAAGATCTTTTAAAGCTGCAAAAAGAATCTTCACTGGAACATAGGAAAAAAATGTGGATGGGGTTTTTTGGGGGGTTTTTTTTGGATAAAAATATTTCAGAGAAAAAAACATTTGTCCAGATCTTTGAACACACTTACATAGATTAAAAACTCCATGTCAGCTATTTTACAGTGCCATTAATTATTATTCACTGAGGAAAAGCAACAGATCCTGCTAGACATATATAGGATATATATATATGATACTAGATATACATAGGATAGGATCAGAAGCAGTTACCAGCCCAATTGGTAGTTAGGAGAGCAATGTCCCATGTCTATAAATCTCTTCATTACTAGTTTCACAACGGCACAATTCTTCACATCAAACTCTAAAAAACTAACACATATATTTTCACTACAAGCATGATCTGTGCGCACCTTTCACTGTCCCTTGTCGTTTTTGGCTACTGTGACTGCAGACATACTGCTGTTTCCCAGGGACTCATTTTGGTGCAGTACTGGCATTTCTGTGAGAATGCCACTACTAAGTGTTGTACAGTTAATGCTCACTTAAACCCTTGCCATCTGAGGTTTACTGTCAGCTAAAATCAAAGGTGAAGTGAAAGCATGAGGAAATTCTTGATGGTTCAGGTAAAAATAGATTCAACATAGTTATCAATGGTGAAAGTGCTGATTTTTGCAATTTTTATTTTTTTTTTAAATCAGTTTCTATAAAGGGCTAATGATCATGATCTTAATCTTTATAAAAATAGTCCAGATTTAGATCAGACTTATAAATTACCAAAATATGTTACCATGTGCCTAACTTTATGCACTAATAGTATCACCAGTATCAAGGAACATGTTAAGATTATCTGGTATGAATCTTTTTTCTTTCAGAACAGATTTCACGTCACAGGGATTTTCAACATGAAATTACTATGTAAAGATAATGTGTTTTCAGCATTCAGTATGTGTTCACACAGCCTTATCTCCTAAAATGGTTAAAACTCAAGTATCAAACTTGATGACATTATTGCAATTTTAAGATTTACTTGTGTAATTATGTACATTAGTAATCTCTTATAAAAAAAAGTTCAGACTATTTAGTCACAGCAGCTGCATATCAGACAAAGTAACATAGCTTAATTTTAAAATCTCAAAATACAATAATGAGAAGATCTGAAATTAGATATGCAGCAAACTTTCTGAGTTTAAAGAACTCAGAAAAATTTAAATTAAAAAAAATTTAAATGATTTAATAATTTTTCTTAGTATGACATGAAGCCAATGCAAGGATGATATGCAGGTCGCTCCATCTTTGTCCAGGGATATATACCATAGAAACAAGTGTCACAGCTCTTCCATCCTCCAGAGTGCAAAAGAATATGACTTGCTCTTTGCAATAACTGATAACTGATGTTTATTACTTAGTATTAGCATATTTTTAATAATGATTGCATTTTGGCAGCAGCTTATTTCTACTACTTTATTTTCAAAAATCTGTCCTCTTGCCTCCCTCCTTTCGGCAGAACTACCAGGGAACACAAGTGGGTCACCTCCCAGGTAACAGGCTGGATTTTACTTTGCTTTGCTTCGCTTTGGCAGATGTGTCCATGAAAGTTAGAGCAATAGCTGCCTGGAAACATGCTTCTGCCAGGGATTCAGTTACGGTGGTTTCAGACTGCATTTGTGATGTATCCACATTTCTCGCTTGTGCACTTTTTGCTCTTGCTTTGCTTCAGGTGATTGTGATGCCTGTATCAGGGCAGACTGACACAGTCCAAGGACACAATCAAAATAATAAAAATGTAGCTAAAAAGAAAAAAACAATGACAAGCAAACGGAAGGAAGGGGAAAAGAAAGGTAAGAGTGCTTTCATGTTTATGGTCTTCTATTCAAACGAAAAAATTGTTAAACATTATGGAGTCTATAGTCTGTGCCAATCAATATTTCATAGGTCCTAATCAATCAAGTTTACAGTATGCACACTCTTAATTAACAACAGATGCAAAGTTTGAATTGCCAGGTTAAACTTCAGTGAAAGAGATTTAAATCAACATTTTTAAATCACCTTTCCTACTTCACTGTGGATTCTCACCTTGACTCACCTATATGATTAAAGTTTTTTGTCATAATAAATACTTCTAAATTTCTGAATGCAGAGGAAAGACTTTGTAATCATGTATACATACACAGATAGTGTTATTTTCCACAGTGAGACACATTTCAGCAGCTGGATCTTTGACACTTCACCTAGAAAAAAAGGTCTTGCTGATTAAGGGATCCTAAATGCCTAAGTGTTTTAGAAACTCCTGATTGTATTGCCATTATTTGAGATTAATCAATTATTCTCTTTTAGCTTTATGTCCATATTGAATGGTAAAGTTGGAATAAAAAGCAACCATTTTTTCTCCAATTTAGAAAAAGAGTGGAGAATTTAAAGTTCTCTGGTGATTCAGCATTCTTGTATATTACAGATTTTTATTGTTCTTTTAGACTGTTACTATATAATTGCTATTTGGACATTGATTTATTCTTCACAATTACAGCTCCCTCATGTAGAACAATTTAGCTCCAAATAAGTTTTACATTCCAAGATTATCAGAACATGTTTTGCATATTTTTGCATAAGTATTTTTTCTTTGTATACAGGATGTATACATGTTATATCATTGCTGACAGAACAATTAATACTCTTATGCACTCACCTTTCTGCTCCTAAGGCAAGAACAAGTATTTTACTGCATTTCTCTCTTCTCTTGCTTTATGGGTATGGGTAGACATTTCTGAGCAATCCTGTAAATTAGGTGGGAAACAATTATTTACATCTGTAATGTTTTACAGCATCTACTTCATAAAGACTTTAATTAGAGACCATAAAGACTTGAGCTTGGTTTTGGTGCCATAAAAAGTAGTAACGTTATTTGTGATACTGAATCTCTTTATATGGGTATGGGAAGAGGAAAAGAACATGATAAGGTCATAACCAATGTGAAAGAAATATTGCTAAGCACAGTAAATACAAGGAAGATTTCATTACTTCTCCTAAATCAGATTGTATTAAGCCTCATGTAGAAGAAATTGTTGATACAGAAGAGACACCTGATCCAAATGAAATCCCTCCTGTGGAAACAGAAAAGGATACAAAAAGCAACAAAGGAGCACCAAAGAAGACTGACGGAAAAGCAGGAGTAGCAGAAATGCTTCCTCAGCCCAGAGAAAGCTTGGATAGGCAGGGAAAGAAACCAGTGGAAAAAGCAGCCTTGGGTAAACCCCGCTGAACTTGAATGAAGAACATGATCTTGTCATGAACTGGATAGTAAATTCAAGCTGAGATTTCACGAGTGGTATACTAGCCATAATATTTTAACACAAAAGTTTATTAGTGGTCTTTTTTATAACATTTGTAATAGTTTCTAACTTTAAATGCATAGTAGATGGGCATTTATGTCTCAATACCAGATAATTGCACTGCAGGAATTTCTAAGTATCTGAATAATGATCTATGTACCGACAATGTGAATTTAATTACTAAAAATGTCCATGATCAGCAAAGTTCATTAGAGCGAATTCTGTCCAGGATTGATATATTTACTACGCTGCAAAAGAATGTTGGTATCATGGAGATGTGTTAATCGATACTTCTAGGTCATCACAGCTGGAGGCAGACACCACTTACTTTTTCAAGGAAATGATACATGCAGTCCTCATAATGCCATGTGGGCTCTACTTTTCACCATGACCAGTTTGGCCACAGTGGAAGATCCCCAGAAACAGAACCATCTCCTATGGATGCAGGGGGGCCATAAGTAGGTTTTCTTTTGATCCAAGTTTCTTTCATGCAAACCTGTTTCATCAGGTGGATCAGGACGACATCTGGCCATTTCCTAACTCCAAGACTCACATGACTGCTTTTCAGTCCACTCCATTCCCTCGTGGTCTTGGTGAGTCACTGCGGATATGGCATTCACCCTAAAGTATGGGCTGCCCCATATGTTCATTTCGCTCCACACTTTTTGCTACAGCACTCACATTTCTTCTAAACCCACTGTCCTTCTTCCCCTCAGTGACTCAGCCCAACTGTACCTCTTGTTCCACTCAGTAGCATCAGACTCACTGGTTTCTTATAAGAGAGGGTAGCTTCATGGTCCATGTAAGGACCATGTAAGGAATAAATATAAGCCAAGAACCTCTGCTGTGCTCATTCACATTCATTACTGTGTTCATTCACATGTTTATGTACTGAGGATATAGGAAAATATGACTCATTTGGAGATGCTTAGATACCATGGAAGAAGCAGAGTTCAAGCTGAAAAACAAACCAATAAAAATAAAGGTCAGAATTTATTTTGTTACTATGCAAGCTGAGTTCAACTTTAAAGTGACCAGTAATTATTAAACATAAGAGACGAAAATAAGATATTTTAATTACTAGGAAAATATTCTTATTCATTTCAACTCTTAGGAGGCTCAATCATATTGTACTGTCTTTTTCTAGATGGATTATTGATGAAAGATTACTGAATTCCACTGGTATTTTTAGGTGTTGGATATATGACAAATGTGGAAATATTGAAAACGTGAGAAATATCAGTTTCTAATCCATCCTAATCCAACTGTTATCATAAGAAAGCACAGAATCTGAATAGCATGTAAATGCATAGAAGTTGAAACACTGATATCTCTGATGGAAAGAAATCCATTTCCTTCTAGTAGAATTCCAATAGAATTCTATTCCACTCTTTTTAAAACCAACAGAAATATTCACGCTGGATGAAATACTGGATAGGACACTTATATGTAGGCAATTAGAGTAATAACATCTCTGTAAACAATGTAAAGGATTTAAATAACTTGGATGGTCCACAGTGAGTGACAGACGGATGTAAAACACAACAGAGAAAAAAATCAAAATACTGACTGCTACACAAAATGGAAGTGGGAGAAACTTAAATACAGACTGAACTACAGCTAAAATCATCCTATTAAATTTAGGTACTGTTTGACACACAGAGTTTGATTCAGTTCCACATCACAGCTTGTTCTACATATCTATGTATTATAGCACAGCAGTGAAGGACATAAGCATAGATCCCACAGAGAAATGCAGTAAGAAGGATTTCCCATTTCAAAATGGGAACCCAAATACATGTAATTTCTCATGCCACTGTTACAGAAAATAATGAATATCCACAGATGTGCAATTTCATCACCCTGCCAGAGTCTGGCCTTTCAAAAGCAGTACAAAACTGCAGGTTGTATCACACAAATCCCCTTTGCCGTGGCAATTATTTCAACCTGTCTTACATCTCTCAAAATCCATCACCTCTTACAGCTCCTTCGGGTTGGGAACCTGTTTCCCACAAACACCTACGGCAGTGTCTAAGTTATATATAGAACAGACTGTACCACTGAGAGCCTGATCCAATTCCTGCAAAATGCCACAGGGGTCTTTTCATTAGTTTTAATAGAAATCAAGATAGATCTCAGAAGAATGTTCTAAAAATATCCCAAATCTCAGATTACAAAGCCCATTTTGCTCACCATGAAGCCAATGGCAGATTTTTCTTTTGTGTCAGTGTAGCAGAATCAGGTCTTAGCTTTTTGCTGAAAAAAAAATCACTGTTTTCCTGATATTTCAATTAAAACTTCTGGAAATACCTTTAAAAATCTAAAATAAAATGTGCTAGAGTTTGGGGGGGTTTTTTGTTAAATTTGGATGGTTCCTCAGAAAGCTGAAAATGGAGTCACATCGGTATTGTTCTATGGGAATCTATTTGCTATCCAGAAGCATAGTGTTGTTATGCATAGTAATAAGATAAACATCAAAGATTAACCCCCCATTTTTCCATTTTGATGACTTAAGCTGTAGTTGTTCACAAATGTATAACAAAATGTTCAAAATTAATATTAATAGAATTGTTGAATATACTAAAGCTTACTGTGTTACCACGGTTGAATAATTTCTTCCTTGTGTTTTAAATGTATGGTTTATATTTTGTTCTCCATTATAAGTATGAAAAAATTGTTTCAGTTTCGGTACATTACATAATGATAGAATGCAAATTATTTCTGTAGCAACAGAATGTCCCATTAAACACACAGAACCATTTGACTACATTTAAACTCAGGCACTGGTTGCAATATTTAACTGAAGTGCCTGTTCTGATTATTATCTTATTTCTCACCTAAATGTTCCATTTCAGCACACATTACTGTTTATATTCAAATTTATAACTGTTAGAAATTTATGTTCTTGTGTTATAACAGCTGTATTTAACAGTAAGGGAAAGTGTTGCAATAAGCTATATTATCTAATCACCTTCCAAAAGCACAAAGGGTGATTTTTGAAGATGAAAGAAGATGAAAAAATAGGATTTGCCTTCCACTGTAGTAAAGACATTGTGAGCTCAGCTGTCCTTGAGCTCTTCTGAGAATTAGTTCCAGATTTGTTAGCCAATTATTGAGGCAGATCTGCCTGTGGTCTGAGACTGACAACCATAATTTGGTAATACATTAAGCCATAATCTCTGAAGCAGCTAGTTGCAAACTGAGATTATCCTTAAACTAGCATAGGGTGAACTTCTGCTCTGTATTCTTGAACAACAGCTATAAGGTCCATGCATGAACAATATTCCATTTAATCTGCACTTACACTGACCAGACAGACACCTGCCATAAATCTTTCCACACAGGTTTGGGGTTTATTTGTCTTGCTAAAAAGACATTAGGTTTTAATAATTGAAGCAAAATGTTGGTCAGGGAAAAAAGCAGCAAAAGCTGTAAAGAGAAAACTGTTAGAGAAAACAGGTCTGTTCCACAAGGGCCTGTAGAGATGAAGGTACTATGAGAGAGATGGTGAGGGGCTGAGACCAATGGAGAGGAAGGAAGGTACCAGATTTGGTTGCAATCTTCTGCTGACTTTTGCCCTTGTTCCATCTCCCATTTCATTATGTGAGAGGTCTTTCCTATAATCTCCTTCTGCAAATTTTCAAATAAAACACCTTTCCTTCCCTCTTTCCCTATCTTGCATCTTCTACCATCCATCAGATTTGATACAATCATTTCCATTTACCATTTCATCACATATACCAACAGGAGCAGAATAAAACCTCCTACTTAATTAGGCTGTGATTATGGCAAGGATAAGGAACTTTGTAACCTCCTTTCAGGAGGCCTGAAATCCTATCATATCTATTATCAGAAAATGATTTGTGAAACAGCTGTTAATGATTGACAAAGAACGGAGAAATATCGCTCACATGAGACTTGATCTGAGTGTGCTGGCTTAACCAAATACATTAAATCTACACACAACTTCATCAACCTGTGGGACTACTGGTGTGCTTAAATATTTTGGTGGCTCAGGGTACAGTTCCTTATAGCCCTGAATCCTTGCTATTAACTTCCCTAATTTGTTTTGGACTGTTAAATGGAATTAAAAAGATAAACTAAACTAAATTGTAACATCCTGTCATAATGTCATTCCGATCTCAGAGAAGTTACTGAAAACACTAAGTCGTGACTAAGATGCAGAGATAAGGAGTCTCACAGGTTTACAGAATAAGATATGAGTCTAAAGCATATTAAAAAAAAAAAAGGATATCCTATCAGGTGGGTATGGAATAAATGACTGCTCCAGACAGCATTTCTGGGTGTTGTACAAACATGCAAAATGACATAACAACAGCTCACCACTGTCTTGCTTTTTTTGCCTTATGTGGTCAAAGACTTTTTATGTTTTTAAACTGCGGTAACAACTAAGCAGAAGGCCATTTTTTCTTTCATCTACAAGTGTTGGCAACATGTTGAGCACACCAGTGCAAGCTGCGGACTGGTGCTACATCTCTATATCTACAGCTCTTTACTATCTGCAGAACCATGAATTTTCTGAGACTTTACCAAAGCCATGCCTAGCACCCTATATCCTCACAGATCTGTGATTTGCCCCTGGCACTGCGCTAGATACCTTTCATCATTTCTTGCCTAGCCTTAAGCAGCCTATCTCTTTCACATACTACTGCAGCTGGAGAGCCAGAGAGCCACTGATTTATGCAACACACTTTCAAATGGCTTCCTCTCCATCAAAAAAGCCAAACCAGTAAGCAATTGCTCTCATCACACCCTTCCCTGTCCCTGATGCAGAAAACAATAGTGACATTTGTGGTGAAAAGGCAAAAGGAATGTAAAGGAGGTGGCAGGGTACCTGTGGCCTGGAGGCCCTGGTTTAACCAGTGAGTTATGGTCCAACAAGGACCACAAATCATGCATAGTTATAGAGGGATCGTATCTACACCACCACGGTGCTTAACCACACAATCAGAAGGGAAACAAACCTCATTTGATAGATATAGCTGTGGAAAATTCAGGTCACCTTTCAGCTTGATCATAATCCATGTGCAAGTCTAAAAGAGTACAGAATGCAAAAGGAGAATACCAAGGCATGTCTACTTCTGTAGTCTTTTTCATCCGGAGATGACAATTTTGGAATGGTAAATATTACCTGGAAAGAAAACACTGTGTTTTCAAACAAATGCTCTTTAATTGGAAGCACCTGTTCCAGGTTTGAAATAGAAAAGTATGACTTACCCCTTCGTTACCCCATTTCAAGTAAAGATTTTTCTGGCTTATTTTTATAATAGGATCTAGTTTAATGTTGATATTTGAAGACATATGATAGATTTAGCCCCTACCTCTTATCTTCCTGTGAATAGGGCTGTCTGGTGTTGAAAAGGAGAATCTCTTCTCAACCAAAAAAAATCTCTTGCTGTTATGACCAGCAAAGATAAGATTATGGAAACACAAATGAAAATATCCTGTTTGAGCAATTGCTGATGTGGTTACCCTCACAAACTAAGCAACTAAGGTGCCAAATAAGGAACTCTGCAAAGCAGAGAAATGATCTGTAGTGCAGACTGTGTGTTTGCGACAGATGTTATGCTAATGTGACTAGGTAATTATTATTGCAATGTTATATTCAAACAGGAGGCCTCTTCAGAAAACTGCTGCAGCTGAAAAATGGTTGCACTGAAGGGTGGAAAATTGCTCCATTAGTCTTTGTTGCTTCCATGTATCCTGAGTCCTGGAAAGTGTTCCAAGAGTGACTCGGAATTTCTGACATGACAATAACATCATCAAAATAGGCAGGCATGAAATCTGACCTTCCTTTTTACATATGTATAATATAGTCACCCTATCCATCTAATTCTGTGTTCGTGTTTCTTCCATGAACTGCTTTCTTCAAAAATCCAGCCTGCATGTTATGCAGGGATAGATTTGTTTTAGTTCCATGCTCAAAGGGATTTAAATATATTATCTGCAAATAAGCAAACTCACTGGCTATAATCTTTTAGGCAGCTTGTCCCAGGAGTACAGATGAATAAATAGATCTTATCTCTTTGTAGGACTGGTAAAAAAGATTGCCAAGGATCTTTCAAGAGATAGGTGGACTACCACAATAAATTTTGTCTCTATATTATATTACTTCGCAAGCTAACATGTCTTTTTGTCAGTTGTACTGAATACTCTGTTGAGCAGCCTGATTTCTTAGTATGTGACAACTACATAAAATCTATGCGAGAGCTTAAAATGGCTCTAACACCAAGTGGGGCAAAGCCAGCTTTCAACAAAACTCTTGTCAACAGATTGGTGGATGAAAAAGTCATTGGTAGACAAATGAAAGTACAGTAAAATAATACAGTTACATGAGTAGTGATAAAACACCTAATTCTCTTTTGTGAAATCCGAATTGTATTTCCAATTATGCTACTTCTCCTTTTCTCTTTTTCACACTGCAAGTTGTCTGGGGCTAGAATATTGTCCTGTTTTAGTACATATTATGTGTCAGTATCATCTGGGGCCTCTGGGTAATAGGGTGACTCAGGTAAATAATAATATACAACCAAGTTAAGTTCAGCAAGCAGCAGCATGAATCACAAAAGCAATGGGCCAATGAAGCTGCTGACCTGAAACGCATTCATGGCCTGCTGGACATGTTCAGATTTTGCAATTCTATACTTTCATTACTAAATAAATAAATATTACAGAATCATGGAATCAGTTAGGTTGGCAAAGACCTTCAGGATCAGAGTCCAACCTATGACCCAACATCGCCTTGTCAACTAGACCACGGCACTAAAGTACCATGTCCCGTCTTTCCTTAAACACCTCCAGGGATGGTGACTCCACTGCCTCCCTGGGCAGCCCATTCCAATGTTTAATCACCCTTTCTGTGAGGAAATTCCTCCTAATGTCCATCCCAAACCTACCCTGGAGCAGCTTGAGACTGAGACACAGCTTGAAACTATGGTATATGGGTATTTATATATACATGAAAATAAATATTTCCCATCCTCCTGTGGGTAGACCAATAACTTTCAGGAGACGTATGCAGTGACAGACCTATAAAGCGGCAAACACCGTGAGGGCTTCTCTCCCAACCCCCTGTCACGAGGTGTTAATCCCGCGTCCCGGCTCAGACCGCGGTTTCCGAACAGCTGCACCCGAGAGGGATTGGCCGCCGATCGCCGTGGCCCCGCGCCCGAGGGAGGCTGTCGGGGAGGACGGGCCGAGTCCCGGCGGAAGGTACCGGGACACTGCTACGTGCTTCCCGGGGCCGCGCCCGCCGCTCCCGCTCCCTCTCCCTCGCCGGGCGCACGCGCACACGGGCCACGCGCCGCCTTCCCCGTCCCCCCTCCCCTCCCAGCCCGCGCCGATCCCAGGTCACGTGGGGCCCGGGGCGAGGCGCGCCCCCGCAACCCGCCGCCAGCGGGAGCGCGCGTGCGCGTGCACGCGCTGCACCAACGGCCGCCGCTTGGCGCAGTTCGCACCCGGCCAAGCGCGGCTCTCCCGGATCCCCGCTCCCGTCCCGCTCTCCATCCATCCTTATAACCATCCGTGCGTCCGTCCTGCCTCGGGTGGCGTCGGCCCCCGCTGGGCCTCTCTCGAGGTAAGCGGGAAAGGGCCTCTGCCGCCGGGTCGGCTCGGGGGGGGTGTCGGTGACCGGGTGCGGGAGAGAGGCGGCAGCGCCGGGCGAGCGCGGGCGGCTGCCGGGGACACAGGGAGGGTGGGAGGGAGGGGCGGACGAACGGAGGGAGAGCGTGGCAGGGCCTGCCCCGGCTGCCGGGCCGGGCTTGCTCCCCGCAGAGGGCTCCGAACAGGGAAGGACGAGAACCTCCCCGGAACCGTCGCTGGGAAGCGGGGCCGCCCGGACGGCTGTGCCTGCGCTCCCTCCCCGCCGCTGCCCACGGCTCCCGCAGCCCAGGCGGGCGGAGGGAAGGGAAAGCATCCCCTCCCGTGCCCTGGCTGCCCGGTGTGCCGCCGGGTAGAGCGGGGGCGGAGGCTGCCGCCCCGCTGGCCCCCGGGTGACGCCCGGCGCTGCCGCCCCGCCGCGACACGGGGGCGGCGGGACCGCTCGGGAACGCCGGTGTTCCCGGCGCTGCCTGGCGGTGCCGCTCTGGCGGACCGGGATACGCGCCTTGCCTTGCCTTGCTGCCCCAGCGCCTTCCCCTCCACGGGGGGATGCCTTTCGCAGTGCATTTCCTAAGCTGGGGCTGTGAACTCGCGCTCCTGCGGGGCGCTCCGCACCTGCCGTGTTTGTCCCCGCTGGTCTGTGGGGTCTGAAGTGGCACTACATTGCGTGTGTGTGTGTATGTGTTTGGGGTTTTGCCAAGTTTACATCTGGTTTAATTTGTGTGAACTGCGTTTTTCTTCTCCTTAAGGGGTCACTGGGTGCATGTAGTAGGCACCAACGATTTTTAATAGAGCAAGGCACTATGCCGTTTAAACCTGTGCATTTCCATCCAGCAGAATGATGTCATAAATATACCTGTGTTGTGGCTGCACTTTGTACGTGCATTTCATCTGGTTACTTTTTCCCCCCCCAACCAAAATTCCATTGTTGTTACGAGAGAATTTGTTAGCCACATCCCATCATGATATATGGTATTATTCAGGATACTGACAGAGAAGATGATACACAATCCTACAGAATTTAGGCTGTAGAATCACAGAATATCCTGAGTTGAGGGACCCACAGGAATCATCGAAGTACAGCTCCTTGGGGGTTTTCTTGTTTGCTTTTTTTCTGTTGTGTTGTGGTTTTTTGTTTGTTTGTTTTTGGTTGTTGTTGTTGTTTGTTTTTTTTTTTTTGTTTTCTTTCATTGGTTGTTTTGGGGGTTTTATACTTTTTAATAGTGTTTCCAGGACAATTTTGCATACTGAGCATTTAATATTTCAAAATACAAAAAAATTATAGTGTTAGATACATTTTAAGAATGTACAGGTATTCATTAGTTGTAATGAAAAGCCCTAAGTCTCAAAATGCCTTGACTTTGTGACATGTCAGTCACTCTGTAGATACTTAGCCATTTTTTGTATGCATACCAGGCAGCTAGGTCCAGCCAGGGCCAACAGTTGTGCTTTCTCTCCTAGCTCCTGCTATAGTTCCCTTACATCCCAGAACATACAGAAATGTAAACAGTTCTGCCATCTCTTACTAAAATCAGGGAAGTTCTCGTTACTTGAGTGATGTAAAGGAATGATCTCCAAGGTGCTCCATAAAAGCTTATTACTATTATATAATAGAATATTAAACTGATAGGCTAAAGTTAAAAAGTTTCTAAATGAACTCAGGATGTCAGAAGCTTTGACTGATATGCTGTATTACCTGGTATTATTCTTAATGCAGTAGGAGTAACTAGATAGTGCTGAATGGCTCTCCTCAGGAATTATAGTATTGATTTTTAAGCTTGTAGCATAACTTTTCAGTCAGACATACCAAAATGTTTGGGTTTCTTAGTGGCCTGTAAAAAAAAATAGAGGTGGTGTTTAAACTTTGTCTTATTCTTTGTAATTAATGTTTTGGTTTGTTGCAAAATTATGTGTAGTTTTTTGTTATTGTTTACTTGGAAGGCATCCACATCAAATGTTGCAGTTTCTCAGAACTTTTTGAGTTTTCTCACTGCTTCCAGCATTACCTTCCACTAGTGTAAAGTCTTGATCAATTATGGGGAAATCTAAACTGCACTTACTGAACTTGATGCTTCCTTATGTATCTTGAGGCCCTGAGCAGCCCTTTCTTGGATTACATGTTTTATGACTTGGTCTCTGCTCCAGGCAACTTGGAATCTGGAGCAGATAAAGCTGAAGGGGTTATGTTCAAAGCCACATTGGGAACCTCTGTCAAAGCAAAAGGTTAAATCAGTTGCATTTGTTTCTTCCTGGAAGATGCTCTCGTGCTTAATACTCTAGATCACAATTTTCTGTTTTTCCAATCTTGCATCTTAAGTGCAAGATCACAGCATATAGGAAAAGAGAGTTTCTTACAGTCTGTGTGTGATCGTAGAATCTCTGTGCTTAAAGTACAATTTCTAAAAAACATGATTTTTTTTTTTGTAAAATACTTTAGATATAAACCAAAGCTAACTTTTAATCATTGTTTATATCATGAATTACCAATGTGTTCTATGTAACTCTCTGAAAAGGGATAAAAGGACACCTTCTGGTATGATATTCAGTGCTGCACGTTACAGATATCCATAGTGAAAAAGCTTTCAGGCTTATACAAAACAGTGGGTGATATGTTTGTGATCAAATTCAAGTCTAAAGTGTATGTATTAGATGTCTTCATCCTGTACTGGGCACATTCTGAGAACATTGTAGCATCCTGTATCCCAGCGATTTTTGTATCTGGCAGTGCTGATCAGGAGCATGTTTTCTATGAACCTTGGATCTCCTTGAAGTTACAGTTTAAGGTCCTACATGTTATCTAAGCAGAGGTTTTTTTTTTTAATTGTACGTACAATTATCCAATTAAAGCATAGTAAAAATGTTGCTGCTTTTGCAAAAATGTTTCACTTAAAAATAGGTTTAATCTGCCTAGCTGCTGTCTCATCTTGCTTGTTAGGTTAGTGCTTGCATTTCAGTTTGGGCAGGCAGACTGATTTAATATGAAACTGTCATGCTAAGTCAAGCCAGATTGTCTTTGTGCTTAAGGTCAAAGCTTAAGCACACTTTTTTGGGATTTTTTTCCTTGTATTTATATTTCAAGGGAATTTTGAAGTAAAGGATGCTAACTTCCCCTTCCTAGATAAATATTTCCTTTTTATCAGTTTGTTTCAGCTTTGCACTAATGTAATTTGACATTAGCTGCCAGAAGTTGTCCCAAGTCACTCATTTTCCCAAAACTAAGGGACACTTCCTCATTGCTTTTGTATGTGCTGAGTGAAACTGGCCCATTTCTTTATCCAAAGTGCTTAAATTCAATACCAGAAATGTAAATATATGAAGTAATAATAGAAAAGTCTCCATTGTATCAGGTGACATTTTTGTGTTGGTCTATGTGGCTGAAGCCAGCACATGCTAAGCCGTTCTTAGGTGGTGTCTTTAGGTTTACTTGTCTTTTTTTAGACTGCATAACTGTCTCCTCAGGAAACGTACTTCTTCTGAATTGATGGTTATGAAAGGCCTTTTAAAGGAAATGTGTAAAGGATTCTTTGCAAAATTCTTTCAAATAAGTGTTTCCAATAAGGAATTGTAGCTGAGATTCAATTAGAAATGGAGGTAATTGTCTCTCACTTGGCTAACAATAGAATTTAATTTGTGATGTGAACTGAAATACAGTGATTTAAAGAAAAAAAATTACTTAGTGGTGACTTTAAGGCATTCATTCCCTAAATGAAAAAGTATGCCTGTAAAGACAAATAGGAAATCTGTGAGGCCACTTTACAGGTTTGTCATGTCCCATATAGACAGTGCAGACACGCTGTTGTGTCCTAGGGGTGAACAGATCCTTCAGACAGATGTGATCTCTGTGGTCATTACATAATTAATTACATTACCCTAATAATGCAGGTCGGTTGGTTTTGGTGAATGAGTAAGCATATGCTACTTTGCTCAGCTGTATCTAATTTTTCTGTTCCCAGCATCTCATGTAAGTACCTTTGCATGGGAATTCTGTAAGACTAGGATTTTTA